ATCGAGAGCGAGCGTATGCTATATAACCGGAGAGACGGAAACGTATCGAATTCGTTCGCTTCGTGGAAGGACTGATTAATTTCCGAATAAACGGAGAGATAACGATTGGAATATTTAAAAGCGTTAAAACGATAAAAAAAATTCGCCGGTTAAAGATGCTTCGACTTCTGTGGAAAAAAAAAAAAAAAAAAATGGGGAGTTAAAAGGAATTAAGATGAAGTCCTGCCGATTCCTTTTAATCCGCCTATTTCTTGTTGCGAGGGAAGGCTAGCAATTTTCTCGAAATTTACAAAATCAAAGAAGACGGGAAAAATAATTACTTGCCTTTATAAATCGCGGTGCGTAACAGTGCGTTAACGAACAAGTAGTAGCGACTCTCGTATCGAAGATCTCAAATTGGGCATCGACCAACTGTATTAAATTAATGTCAAAAGAAACCACATGGAATTATTAGCTTATCTTTCGATTAGACGCGACCTCGACGACGCTCGCGATCACGTCGCAACTCATACGGTGCCTCTCGACCGCAGTATATTCACAAACTAATCAACCATACTTTATCTCTTACAAGACGCAGGGTACATTACAATACACTTTCGGCCGAGTGAATGTGTCGATTCCTTAATTATTCGCATTTCAAATATTTCCGCAATATATTGTATTTTGAAATTATTTTAAATCGATAGTGAACGTATAAACGATAAGATCTAAACGCAAAAAAAAAAAATAATTCACGGAAAATATGCGAATAAAATGTATAAAAATTTATCTAAAAATAAGTTATAAATTAAAGTAAAATTGTGAATTTTTTTGATTTACAATTATAATTACGTCTCTGAGTTAAAATGAAGCCTCGATATATCGATCGATATTTCGGGATCGTCGATGCATTTTTTTACCGCGACAGGAATCGACACCTTCCGGTCCGAATCACGAAATCAATAACAGCAGCCTGTCTGCGCAGAGGCATGCCTTTTCTTACTCCGTCATTAATCTTTCTTCCCCTCTCTCCCCCCGCTGCTATCGATCTTTTTAACGGAAGTGCACACGATTCGATATTTCGGGACTCCAAGGGAGACGTCGATCTCTCCCTACGTGCTGTACATATACGTGTATATACTTGTATACTTCTACTCTGTACTTGAGAGACGTCGCTGGGCCACAGCAAGTGTATAATAATCCAATATATAACTGGAGAAGTAGCATACTCCGTTTCCCGCTAAAATAGCCTTACCGACGAGTGACACAAACGAGGACAAGTATATCTGCACTGACACTGACTCAGAGCCATTTTAGATCCCAAATAAGTCGATCGAGCAACCGTGACTCTTTCGAGAAAAACCCTTTCTCTCTTTCGCGTTAGTACGAGCCGACGAAATCGGTGGTGATTGCGCATCCGCGGCTTCTATCGTTTGTCGTTTTACGTTGCGTTCACGCCTACCCGCATGCAAGAGCTCAACGCGATCTGACGAATTCGTAGAACCGTAAATATTATGCAAAAATGACTCACCGATCTGACGACTGTCGCGGTCCGCATCTTTTGGTACATCCGAACATTGATGAATAAGTCTCGATATCAGTGAAGAGCCATTATCTCATCCTGCATCCCGATTAATCTGTAAAAAAGAAAGAAAGAAATGGATGGTTATTTATCTTGTACAGTGACGAGTCTCTAATTTTCCAAAACAGAAATTAATGTTTAAAAATTTTATCATTCCTTTATCCATCTCTCTACTAATATTTACATATCTCTCTTACTAGACTTAAATAAATTAATATTTTCCTTAATTAGGATTGAAATACGTTACAGAGAATTTTTTTAATATTTCGTATATTGATCGTTTTAATAAAAGCATCTTTATTAGTTACGCGAATTTTTCGATAGTTGAAATATATATGGTGGCCAAGTATTTCCGAAGCTTGAATCATTCTTTTGTTACTTTATATAAAATCGAAATTTTCGAAATTTTATATTGGCCTTTCTGTAACATTATTACTTAAAAACTTTTGTAAAAAAGTGAATCGAAATTAATCTCATATCTTTGTTAATGAAAAGAATACTTATCCAAACACGCTCGTAAAGAATAAAAATTGATGCTAACATATTAAAAATAAAAAGGATATGATAGAAAGTCAAAGAAAGCTTAAAATTTCAAAGATTAAATTTAAATTCCTGGCGATTTTTTTTTTCTAAAGCAACTCTACTTGTGCGGGGCAAACGTGACTTGAATAAATACACTGTTTCGAAAAGATCACGACGTAAATGCAATATAGAGTATTTAGAATAGAGAGGATAAATGAATGTGAGGAAAAGAAGATCCAGATGGAATCACGCGCGAAACGCGTCGTACGATATCAGATATTCGAACGAGAGCAACTATAAAGGAAGTTTTTAATTATAAGCTGTCCAAAACATACAGAATCAGTGAGAAAGGCAATAAAGCTATATTGAACTGAAAAAGAAAAAAAATATACTAAAGTAGATCTCCTTGCATTATATGAGTATTATCAGAGAATTCAGAATATTATATTAATTATCGATAACTCTAGGCTAGGCATATATACATATAGAAACTATATATAGCTATTAGATTATTATGATAGTATATATATAGCACGACGTATAACAAGCTAATTAATATAATTGGAAACTTCACCGAGACGGGCGAATAAACTCTCTCTCTTTCTCACACACCTGTGCAATGACTGTATAATAATTATATCGAGTATATCGCCATTATATCACCATTTCGGAATCATCATTACAAGCTTATTAACAAACGCGGTAATTACCGAGGGATATGATGTACGTGCGATTATATTTTGGTTCAAATTAGACGCGTCGATTCCGGGAACTCTCGCAGATTTTCAAACCCGACGTGTATGCAAATTATATCGCCATGATAAAAGGAAATTGCGAACGCGCATCGATTATTATTGTAGCTGTAAAACTATATATCCGGCTCCCAATATCGTGCTGCGGCAACACACACACCTGTTGAAGAAACCTTCTTTCGATTACCACCTCACCGAGAAAAGGCATGCTGCGATATGTGTTCACAAAAGATAGATCATTGGCACCAAAACGTTATCATTATCACACGCGCGGTAATTTCTATATCCTCGAGAAAATGCAGTATGCCGTAACGTAAAAAAAAAAAAAAAAATCGGCGCGACATCCGTAAGCGAATTACGAAAGGTGTTTCTGTCTGCATGCAATTATGCATCTCGAGAAAGAAAGCATCAGTATGAAAGGCCTTTCTTAGTCCTTACGTGCGAAAAGGATTACACTTATCTGTAATTGAGACCCACGTATATATAATATTATAACGAGAATAATTCGTTTCTAAAAAAATTGTAATAACGCGCGCGCGTATACATATATATATACATATATACATATATATTATTAAAAAAAAAAATGGCTACTTTAAACGCGAAGATCTAATAATGTATTTCGCACTCATCACGACTTTGATAAAAAGATAAGCAATGATCGCATCAATGGTTTCGAGTCAATGACACAATATTAAACTCATTGAGTATTACAACGTTTATAGAGCCTTAAAGAGGGAAATAAAAGAGAAAAGAGAAAAAAAGCAAGAGAAGTTTTCGAACAGTCCAACAAAGTATAAGTGATTACAATAACGATTTGTAAAATAAGTTCACTGCCAATCAAACGACTTGCGCCGAAAGAAAAAAAAAAAAAAAAAAATCGGCGCGACATCCGTAAGCGAATTACGAAAGGTGTTTCTGTCTGCATGCAATTATGCATCTCGAGAAAGAAAGCATCAGTATGAAAGGCCTTTCTTAGTCCTTACGTGCGAAAAGGATTACACTTATCTGTAATTGAGACCCACGTATATATAATATTATAACGAGAATAATTCGTTTCTAAAAAAATTGTAATAACGCGCGCGCGTATACATATATATATACATATATACATATATATTATTAAAAAAAAAAATGGCTACTTTAAACGCGAAGATCTAATAATGTATTTCGCACTCATCACGACTTTGATAAAAAGATAAGCAATGATCGCATCAATGGTTTCGAGTCAATGACACAATATTAAACTCATTGAGTATTACAACGTTTATAGAGCCTTAAAGAGGGAAATAAAAGAGAAAAGAGAAAAAAAGCAAGAGAAGTTTTCGAACAGTCCAACAAAGTATAAGTGATTACAATAACGATTTGTAAAATAAGTTCACTGCCACTCAAACGACTTGCGCCCCTTAGGAGAGCGCCAATATTCCAAGATGTGAATGTGTACAGTTATGTGAAAAGTATATTATATAATAACGTAATTATATTTACATATGATATTAATTAGTATTATGTAAAACTAAATAGCATGTAACGATACTAAGAGTGGTATACATACGTAGAACATAGGTAACGAGAAAGAAAAAAAAATACACTCACGTACATATACATATACTGATCGCAGATTTATTTCAAGGAAAATATTTACGCGCCCGTTCATTTCTACATTACGATTCTAAAAATTAGCGCTAACACACATAAGTTTCCTTTGCTAAACGATAATCATTCGATTGGTATAATATATACTTTTTCCCTTCGACGTCGCTTCTACAACACAAAACAGGGCATCTATTTTTATCTATAATTATAAGTTCAAAATCGAGATTTCAAATATCGTGGCTATCAATAAATCTGACGAAATTTAATCGTATATTTGATCAGCTTTCCATTGTGAGCGCGATCGACAGTGCCCGCGTAATATGACGTACGTTGTTTCCGATTAATGTTGTCTAATGCTTTGCAATTTTTCTCTCACAGAACGTAAATATGTTCTGTGCGATTTGCATTTGTTAAATATTATGTAATTGAATTCTTTTTATAAAAGCCCTTACATTCTCTCTGTGAAAATGTTTTACTTTACCTTGTCATCATCCTAACAACGAACAACGCGACAGAGCGCGCGCGTTATTATATTATCACAAGATCAATCAGTAAAAACGTGCGATATATATTGAAATAGATAGGAGTGTTTTATTATTATTCATTAAAAATTTTCATATCACATTGGCATATATAATATTCCGGTCGATGAATGTTTTTGGACAAAAAATATAGGCATTAAATATTATTATACTTCATTATTGTATACTATTAATAAAGTACTTGCAAAGATCCATATTTATTCAACTGAAATGCAAGACACTGAGCTTGTGTCTTACGGCTTGCATTCCTGATGATAAGGCTCCAAAGTCCGAAAATCTCTCCAAGTTGGAGGAAGTGCGCTGTGCAAATGCAAGCCACAGCGTTTGCAAGGTTCGCTAAATAAATTGTTTAGACCATGTAACCATGTCTGGAAATGAGAGAAAATATGATAACGACTGCATAAATTGCGCATCCACGATCTCTACGAGGGATTAACGTAATTTAACAGGCGATTAAAATAGCAATCAAGCAGATTCAGTAATGTAATATTCATGACACAAATACACATAGTCATTAGCGAGTCGTTACCATAAATGATCGCACTGCTAATTCGGGTAATGCGAGCGAATGGAAGTGCAGCATCGCCGCGTGCGCGTTCTCCGTCACTTTGCGGAAGACTTTATGCCTAGATTCCGTCCACAAATCCATTGTTTCACCGTAACCCTTGATTACGACCCGCTCTATCATCAAACCCTTAAATGCTATCAACGCCTTTAGGACATGCCCCAGTGTAACATGTAATACTGCATTCGATGCGAATGGACGGGACACAGACACTGTCATGTCACTAAACTGCCGTTCGACTGTTGATAGCATGGAATCGACTTGCCTATTTAGACGCACATTAAAATACATTAAAATCAAATCAACCTCATGTTCCAAAATTAAAGAATCACGTTTTTTTGTCTCATGCATCATTAGAATTAAGAGCAGCTTACGCTTGAGATACATTATGACTATTGGTGTAGAACGGTCTTGCCTTCTTTGTTCTACTTGCGACCATATAAGATCTCTTTAGCGAATTTTGATTGAGCAATGTATAAGCAACATTACTATACTCGTGAATCTTATCTGTCCACTTATAACAATTGACAAGTGTACTATAAAGCGCTTGTCTTTCTTGTGTCGTTTCCTGACTAAGATATGTTGTGCTAGCTAAATTAAATGGACCTGGTGGCGGATTTAAACTACTTATCACCTGTTCTACATCCCTGTGTTTCAAATGGCAAACATTAATCGCATAATTAAATTGTTTCATAATAATATAATCCAATAATGAAACTATTATATTATCTCATTTTGAATTATGTCTCATTATTTTGATTTCTAGTAATTATTTTATTTACTCTCGTTTATTTAATTACCTCAAGTTATGATTCACAGTAGTCAATAATTCCTGTAACTCTAATAAATACTTTGATTCTTTATTTTCGTCTCCATGCTCCGCCCGCAAACCATTTCCAAGAGAATCAAACACTTGTCCAACATTCGAACGAAGTACTTTGATAGCTGTTAGCGCTGTCTGCAGCTGCTCCATTTTTACACCTGTTAAAACATTGTAGTATTTTCACAATGTATATGTTTTTCAACATATCACAAATCTACACTTAATGTAATATTTATAAAAGGCTTCGGTTAATGGAGTTAATGATTCATTTATGTTTTGTGAAAAATAATGCGTATGGATGATGAAAGTTTTTAAAAATATTATACTAAATGTCGCCATACCCACTGTTTTAATAGACAACAGCCTCCAATTTTTTATTTTAATTTCTTATTTTATATCAAACACGCTCCATAGAAAAGAATCTGTCTATTCAGATACGATATAATGCTTCATAACCTATAATACAAGAACATATATTAAAGATATCCTATCCTGTGTGTGTGGTATCAATTGTAAAAGTATAAAAAGTCGCTGAAATGCATGTTTTTGTTAATTTTTAACCTTTTCTCGTACAATCGTCGACTAAAGATAGCCTTTGATTTTTGACAAGCGCTTCGCGCTTATAATCGCATATGGACTGTAATCGATAGTTTTGAAAATTCAAAATAAATTCGGATAACAATAAGTATCTGAACAGTTAATTAATATATCAAGATCTTTCTCTAATGAAAAACTGACGATGCACATTTACTTTGCACATCCTTCTTTTCTTCGTCCTGACGGGACGCAAAATCATAACACTTCGTATATACTGCCATCTGCCATTTTCATTCACCTCCGAATATGTAAATCAGAGAACGTAGTCACTCTAGTTTCTGATTGATCCAGTTAACTAGCACGTCGTCAGATGGCATTGATTGACCAATCGTCATCCACGATGCTCGTTACTTGTGCTTATCGTCGTATGTAGTGTTCAAGTTGCCTAACTGTGTATTTTCTTTGTGCAAGATGAAGTCATATGAAATTTACATGTTGCATGAGGGAAATTCAAAAGAAAGACAAGCGCTGACAAATATTGCCCACGTGACACGAGCATAATTAGCTATGGGCACGAGTAGTTGCATTTCACGTGACTGTGTTATTGCCGGTTGAAGAGGTTATAACGGTATTAAATATAGATTTATCTCTTGTTTTTTATCGTGTTGTCTTCACATGTATTCGAAATGACGTCATTGGGATAGTGCAGTGGCGCGCAAAAATTACACAATTTCTGTTTATATGACACACGAGTAGCAGATGGCAATTTGAAGTGAATCGATAAATAAAGTGCAAGTAATACAACGTTTGGAGAAGCTGACGATTATAACACAATTATGGATTTATCGACAACTGACAACATTGAAGACGAATCCGATGAATTATTTTCAGGTAATGATTATACATCTCACGCGAATTGTTTATGTGTGTGTGTAGCATAGTTATGGTATTTTTTTTTTTTATACGCAAATTTTTAGATGACGAACAAAAAAAAGAGATCAAACGTGATGCCCTGATTTTAAATCGGTTTGAAACAGCATGTGCTAGTACCAGCATGATGTAAGACACATTTTTATTTTGTTATTTTAGAGTTTTGTAATTAAATATGTAACGGAGATTTCTCAGCATCTAATAATAACGATAATACAAAAATATAGAATAATATTTGTTGTAAACAAAAAAAGTTTTATTTATGTTATTGATCAAAAATTGTTTTAATTTCAATAAGTAATGTGTTTTATCGTTGAATAATTGGTCATTTTATATTGTTAACAACAGAACATCAAGTGATGATGTAATTCCACGTACACCATTGAGTTTGCTACCCCTTTTAAGTAAGATAAATGAACAGTGGAGTAGTGATTTTGAAACACCACAAGCTCAGCCATACATAAAACCATTAACAAGTACAACAGAAAAAGTAATATATCTTTTTAAATGAAATATGTTACATTTCTACATTGTACTTTATTATTTACATTACAATGTCCTGTTTATTATTAATATTTCAGACAGAAGAAACACCTAAACTTAAACAACATACACCTGATATTTCAACTATTAAAAGCGTAGACAGAATTATCTCTGATTCTCCTGTTATTGCAGGAGAATCTAGAGCATCACGAAGACGCTCCAAACGTCGTATATTTAGAACTTCTATATCTATAGATCCATTAGTTGTAACTAACAATGAAGATATTATCATAAATGTACCAATAGATACATCTTCTATTTCTGAAAATATTAATTCTGCAGTACGGAATAATGTTACAAATGTTGCGGAACCTATTTCAGTTATTGATAATCTTGAAGATTATGAATCAAAAGTTCTCAATAAAATTCAAAACTCATGTAATAATGAGAAATTAGAAAATCTTACAAATACTGCACCTGACAGTTTGGATACATCAACACAAGAATTTTTTAAAAATGCCTCGTTCAGTAATATAGATCAGATATGTTTTAACACTTTTGATAATCAAACAACAGTCCAGTCTAATGTGCATTGTAACCAGAGGATCAAAGATATTGATAAAGAAAGAAATATTAAAGAGAATAAAAATATAGGTTTCTTTACTGCTCATGGTGCTTCAATTAATGTCTCAAAGCAGGCAGTATTTAAAGCAAAGAGATTGTTTGCAGATGCCTTTGATATAGAAGAAACTCAAGCACAGAATTATGAATCATTTGCCAAAAGAAATTCTAATGGACAGAAAAATAAGCATTTATCATCCTTTTCATTTACTGATACCGTTTCTATAAATACTACAAAAGAAATATTATCCAAATCAGAGCGACTATTTACAGAACATTTGAAAAATTACGATAAAATGCATATTACAGATTGTGAAGAGCCATTTGTAAATAAAAGTTCTGTTGAAGAAGTTAATATAGTTCCTATTTTATTCTCAACTGCTAGTGGTGCTCCCATCAACATCTCGAAGAAAGCGTTGTCTAAAGCAAAATTGTTATTAGCAGATGAATCAGAAAAGGATAATGATAAATTAATAAAATATTCTGAGTGTTCATCTATGAATGAAAATTCTGCGAAAAATATAACTTTACCATTATTTTCCACAGCTGGTGGTAAACCTATCAGTATCTCAGAAAAATCACTGTCCAAAGCAAAAATGTTATTAGCAGATGAATCAGAAAAAGAAAATGAGATATTAATAAAATGTCCTGAGAAATCATTTACAGATGCAAATTCTGTGAAACCGGACAATATCACTTTACCATTATTTTCCACAGCTGGCGGTAAATCTATCAATATCTCAGAAAAATCACTGGCCAAAGCAAAACGATTATTAGCAGATGAATCAGAAAAGGATAGTGATAAATTAATAAAATATTCTGAGAGGTCATCTACGGATGAAAATTCTGCGAAAAATATAACATTACCATTATTTTCCACAGCTGGTGGTAAATCTATCAATATCTCAGAAAAATCATTGGCCAAAGCAAAAATGTTATTAGCGGATGAATCTGAAAAAGAAAATGACATACTAATAAAATGTCCTGAGAAATCATTTACAGATGCAAATTCTATGAAACCAAACAATATCACTTTACCATTATTTTCCACAGCTGGCGGTAAATCTATCAATATCTCAGAAAAATCACTGGCCAAAGCAAAACTATTATTAGCAGATGAATCAGAAAAGGATAATGATAAATTAATAAAATATTCTGAGAGGTCATCTACGGATGAAAATTCTGCGAAAAATATAACTTTACCATTATTTTCCACAGCTGGTGGTAAACCTATCAATATCTCAGAAAAATCACTGGCCAAAGCAAAAATGTTATTAGTGAATGAATCAGAAAAAGAAAGTGATATATTAATAAAATATCCTGAGACATCATCTACAGATGTAAATTCTATGAAACCAAATAACATGACTTTACCATTATTTTCCACGGCTGGTGGTAAATCTATCAGTATCTCAGAAAAATCATTGACCAAAGCAAAAATATTATTTGCAGAACAATTAGATACTACTGTTGAACAGATCAAACAATGCGACATACATACTTCAAATATTAGATCCTACATTGCCTCTGATGAAAACATTAAAAGATGCGATTTAAAAACTTCGTATGGTAAACTTTACTTGGAAAGCGATCAAGAGATAACAGTTTCGAATAACGTTCTATTAAAATCACAACCATTCGTCTCTAACAACCATCTAGATGATAATAGCCCTGATTTGAGAAATACATCATTGCAAAAGCGCACCAGCGATTCAGATGAGAACACACCCTTGGGCAGGAACTGCCCGTCTGAATCAAAAAAAGCTCGTATCAGTAACGAATTTCAAGCTAGAAAATTATTTTCTGATAATCTGGGTATCGATACGAATAACGACGAGAACCGAAATCCAAACGAGAAAAAGCAAACAGATTCGATTATAAATTCTGCCTTAAGATCACCCGAAAGAGATGCTGTTGAACCAATCGAATTGGACGTGGTGAGTAGTCCTGTTTTAGGAACACGTTCGAGAAAGCGGAAAGATTTAGGACATCGGAGGGACAAGTATAGTGCACCACGAGCGCATAAAATAACGCTAGATGATGTAGAGAATGTCACACACAAAAACGCATCTTGTAAGAACGAATCAGATATGGAGATGCAAAAATCGGCGGAAGAAGCAAAAGCAAAAATGCAAACGGAGAAGCAAAAGACAGAAAACAATACGGAATGGAGCGAGTACGGTGATACTCAGTTAATGATGTATTTCGTCGACGAATCAGCGAGGATACTGCAGGATCGCTTGACGGCCGCGTTAGATCAAGAGAAGATAATCACCGCGAAAAGGAGACGCGGATCGAAGCAATCGATCGGCCATCTGTATCGTTACAAGCAAGATAATTCTAACGCTCGTTTATCGTTGAGAAAACTCAACAACGGCGCGCCGCCCGTGCCGCTCTCATATCAGGAACTCATCGATCGACAAATATCGCCGAATATCCTGGCGATCACCGCTGCGACAGCCGCGTCATACATATTTCGATGCTCTGATTTTTACGGGAACGAAGTGGCACGGACTAACGTTCGCGGGATAGAAATGGAGGATGAGGTGCGTCTGATTTTAGATGAGAACGGTTACGCGGGAATTTGGGAGTTCCTCCGCGCTTTCCTCGCAAGTCCAGGCGTAAATCCAAATCTTGTTCCCGCACGCTGGGTCGAGAATCATTACCGGTGGATTGTATGGAAATTGGCGTCGATGGACAGAATGAAATTCAGCTCGGCCGAGTTACCTAGGTATAATTATTTTATGAAATGAGTACACAAGAACCGTTTCCAATTCCTAGAAACTAAAGAGATTGAATAGAATTGCACGAGATCTGTGTAGATGCTAAAAGAAATTAACGATTATTGAATATTTTTTCTACACTTCAGGGCATTAACACCTTCCCGCGTGATGGCGCAATTAAAGTATCGGTACGATCGAGAGATCGATCAGTTTCAACGATCGGCCATAAGACGTATCTTGGAAAAGGACGACGTCGCGTCTAAGAGAATGATTTTATGCGTGTCATCTATAGTAGAAGTAATATATATTAATCATATATAAATATTCAATATATCGGTATATATTACACGTATCTTAATTTGCAGAATAATAATATAAGCACGGAGATAGGGAAGAGTCCGCGCGTAGGAGTGCCAAAGTGGAGAATAGAATTAACCGATGGCTGGTACAGTATACCTATTTGTATCGATATAGGATTGGTGAAGAGCATATCGACTGGCAAAATAAGAGAGGGCACGAAATTGGTAGTGTCCGGCGCAGAATTATTAAATTGCGATCAAGGTTTCTATCCACTAGAGGTAGGCATCGACTTTTTTACCGGAATCGGACGTGCAAATGATTAATTTTTTTTTTTTGTTAATTTCTTATCGCAGGCACCGGCTACCGTATGCCTAAAATTGCACACAAATTCAACCAGGCGTGCACGATGGTACGCGAAATTAGGATACGCGCCACGTTCGGGACCGATACCCATCAAGTTATGTAACGTATGTCCGAACGGCGGTTTAATCGGCAAAATGACAATTATTGTCGCTAGGGTGTATCCGACGTTATATCACGAGAAAACCGTATCCGGAGATTCGAGTAAGATACATGTGAATTAAAAGCTGAAATTGCAAACGCGAGTTAGCGAGACAATTCTTATTCTATATTATTTTTGCTTATTTTTTGTAACAGTTGTTCGAAACGCTAAATGCGAGGAGAAAATGCAAAGCACGTACGAACAGCAATGTTTGTCCAAGATAGAGGCATTTTACGCTAACGCGGAGAAAGATTTTCAAGAAAAACTTGCTCGAGAAACTGAAGATTACGAAAACTCGTCTACGCAAGTACGATTTGATTAACTTATTTAAATCATTTTTATTAGCTTATATAAATTTTACGCGCGAGTCATATGTTAATCGTTATAAATAGAAATCCGTCTCGAAGAAACGACGCAGCGAAGAATTATTGCAAGAATTACACCAGAAAAAAGAGAGATTCATGCAAGACATGCAATCAAAATTGCGCCAAGATTTACCAGGGCCACGACAAGTTTCTCAGTTGCTCAAAGTTCGAGTATGCGACGAGAATGTAAACGCGATTCTGTCAATCTGGTCGCCCAGCGAGGAAGTTGTGAATGCCCTCAAAGAAGGCGCGTGTGTCTCGCTCTATAACGTCGTCGCTTCTGGAAAGAGGTATTATTTTCTCACAAGAGAGGAATATAACTGTATCGCGCGCGGTACATACGTAAATGCTGGATTTTTATGAGTAAATATGTATAATTTTGTTCAACAGAGGAACCGAATTACAAATCACCGCGCGCCGGTCCTCAATCTTTAAACCGGTAAAGATGCACGCTATGTCATATCCTGCTAGAGTATGCACATCTTTTTGCGAAATGGCCAATTTCGAATTTGTTCCACCTTACGGAGAATTCGACACGGTCGGTTTTGTATGTTTCGTCGGCCCTGCCCCTTATGTAAGCGTTTCTATCATATTTTTCTCAATTTTCTTAGGCAATTTAAATGTAAATATTGTTTAAAAGATTGTAAAAAATATTTTCTTCTCATTGTAATATTTTATATGGACGCATATATATCTTTGTAGGGCATGAAAGATTTCGAAGTCGCACATTTAGCGTATCCGAAAACGGATTCGAATGATTCCACTTATCTCTCGATATTGTTTTGGCAAGGCATAGCCAGTTATGGCTACACAGAGATTCTTACTGTCGGATCTATTGTGGCATGCAGTAATTTAGAATGGCGAAGAGCAACTTCATGGAATGTCCCAGCGGCGTATTGCACGGACAGAACAATTTTTACGTGCAATCCTCGCCGAAATCATCTGTACGAATCCTTTGAAAATTTGCAAAATCTGATCACGGTACGTTATATTCTCTTTTTCTTTCTTTGTTTTACGTGTCTTTTATAATTTATAATTTTTATACTCTCTCCCATACACATTCTTTCAAGTTTTAATTGCAATTTTAATTATTTAAGCAATTAATGCTTCTAAAAAAAATTATTAATTTTTTATATAATTTTATCCAATTAATATAATTATTTCTCTTAAACTAACATACGCTTTTCTATGTTAAATTTGATTTTTAAGGATTCGGTTAAGTACGCTGAAAGATGCACTTCCGCGCTTAATGTAGAATTGCAAAAGAAGTCAACACCGACGCATTATGTACCGGGTAAAAATACTCCGATTAAAATATACAATTCGATCACACCAAGCGTGGACAAAAAATTAGTCGACTACACGCCGCCGTTGGCGGTGCCGAAATTAGGAACCGGCAGCAATCCGAGATATATCGCATCTAATCCTTCGATCCAGAGACGACTCGAAAAACTTCAATATTATGGGGAACCGCCCGAACTATCTCCTCTTATACTCAGAAAATCCAAGAGGGTTTCTTTGAATTTCCAATCGCCCGTTCGCATCTCGACGAAGGATACATCGAGTATTAAGGAATCCAAGGATCCACATTCATCCGACGCATCGGAAAAGCAATGATGTAATCACAACTTGCTCATTTGTTTTCATTCTAGTTATAAGCGAAACTGTTGTAAAAATTTGTTAATTATTATTACATAAATATAAACTATTTTGTTTTTACATACATTCCACTCTTGCATTTTCCATTCGAAGGAATGTTCTTTTCAAGAGAAAATTCGTCGATAAATCCCCTAATATATATGGGTCCAGGTGTTAGCCAGCTGTTACTCCCGGCAGCTGATCACCTACATTTTTCCTAGACTTATTGTTGGTTGGAAAATGTAAAACATTCGTTTATAGCGATTTTCGAAAAGTAAGCTTGCTTGGCATGATACTTGGAATTAATCAAGAAACGAAAGAAAATTATAATTCTAAAGACATAATAGAAAGTTCTTTTTTTATAGAAAGTGGACATATATATATATATATATATATATATATATATATAGAGAGAGAAGAGTTGTCTTTCTCATTTTTCAAGAGATCTTTCCCCAAATCATTTTTTTTCAGTTTAAATAAATGTTCTCATGCTGACAAGAGTGAAAACAGGAGATTTTCTGTTTTCTTGGGAATAATATCTGACAGTTACGCGGATCCTCTCGGACCGTCACGCGATTGGGCCGCATGCGCGCCGGAGGGGCAGGAGAAACTAGAAAAGGACTGCGCGCTGACTTTGGCGCTCAGTTTGACACGCACCGGTGTACAGCGTGTCTCGTCTGCGATTCTCCCTCGTTGCATCTGGTCAGATCGGGCGATCTAAAAAACCGCCCGATTGGCTTTTGAGCTGGGGAGAAAATTTATCGTGTTGTGTTTTGTTTCATCTCCTCCTCGAGACGCGAATCTATGTGCGGCGATGATTCGCGACGCGATTGTTTGCGTGTAGAGGCGACGTTCCGCGATACACGCATTTATTAGTGCTTCTCTGTGCGTTCGATCGTACTTAGGTTTTCATCATAATCATCATCAGCAGCGGCGCGATGACGACCGAGATCCCGAAGGTGGAATTCGCCCTCGGCAGCGAGGTGTCACCCGGTCGCTTCTTCAAGAGCGCGTTCGCGCGCAATTTTATTAGCAGTGGCCGCGACTGCAAGTCCTTGGATTACGAGCTGCTCGATAACGCCGTTGTGAACCAGCGGGATGATCGCAACAACAATACCCGGAACAACAATTTCTTCTCGCTTGTGACTTTCGCGGATGACAAGCCGATAAACGATGGCGGCAACGACGCCGCCGTTCTCTGGGAGCAGCCGAAGCCGAAAAATCAGGTGAATGTCTGTTGCACTGTTTTACAATGTTTTCTTTCGCACAACGTGCTCGTCTTTTAATATCGTCCTAACGGTAACTTTGTACGTGAAATATCATGCACTTTAGAGATGTTGCAGCATCCTGTCACGTATATCAAAGACATATCAAAGATTAAAGAGTGCAAAAATATAATTTTCGTGAAAGAATACACAGAGATTATATATGAATTATCCTTTTATATATCTCCCTTTATCTGCTTGAAGATTCCTTGTCAAATTTTCTGCGATCCTGAATAAAATTGATTCCCGATTCAAGAATCTATATAAGGGAGCTGCAATCTCTCTGTACATTCGTCTGGAGTTAAATCTTTCATGCATACGACTATGAAATTATTCTTATTTGCTCCGGAATCGCTTAGGCGAAGTTTAATATCGCGCTTGAATTACGACGATATAAGATCGTAAGAATAATGATAGCAGCAGCAGTGTACTTGGTTACAGTGCGTGCGTTTCTGTTTTACGACTAATTACGAAATTGGAAGCAAAGCGCAATGAAATCCTTCGAGCGTTAGAACGTGCGCGCGTGTTTTGTAACTCGATTTAAATACAATAAACGCGGTGTTTCTGCTGGATATACTATCGGCGTATCCGCTATTGTGTCGAATCAATTAAATGTCGAAAGATGCAACGGATAATCAATCGAGAAAAAGGGACGTTCGCGCTCTTGTTGAAAATTCTCGTTTATATACATACGGCGACTGTCAAATAATTTGTTACTTTCTATTCTTGACAGGCGGCACAGTCAGCTGCAGATGCGAACGAATTGGAGAAACTTCGAAAGGTGAGTTGATTTTATGCCTCGTCGGCTTTGTTATCGCATATTCATCCTCGATGAATGTTTCCGCCAAACGGAAACTCGGAAGTATGCATCTGTCCTAATATCTATCTTTATATATCGATCGACGCATTGTCATTTCTCATTGTCATTTTATCATACAACAATGGATTTAAATTTATTAAATCCAAAATTATTTAAATTTGAAAAATTAAAGTAGATAAGAAAGGGAATTTTTTAATACTAATTTTTAGTTTGAAGAATTTGAAATTCATCACTCTAAAGAATAAATTTCCATTGAAATTTGCGAGATCTTCATCTCTGTCCTCCGATTCTTCTTTCAACGATAAGATAGAAGAGGACTAGGTATTCAATAACTATGGTGCATTTTACAGATCGAAATGAGAGAGAATTCTTTCATGTATACGACTGTTTATGCTGAAAGTAACCAGACCATATTTCCGTTTGCCTTTATTTCGTTGTTAAGCATTTCCCGATCGGGCAGACGGTAACTAATCGTTCGAAACCACATCAAATTATCTGGAATCCCGTATGGTATACCTTTACGTGCTTATTTCCTACTATTACTATTATTATCTGCACATTAATGTATCGAAGCGAGCGGATCTCGCCGAGTACCATTCGATCAGCGAATATTTACACAATGAATGGACCATCTATTCTGAGCCTTGTGGACTCTATTTGTCTAACTATGTATCTAGCGTCACTCGAAATCCCGTGTAATAAAAGACAAATAATTATAATAGTATATTAATACCGTTTTTTTTTTTTTTTTAATCACGTTAATAACAATCTTTTTACTAATGCTTTTCGTAGTCGCTTACAAATAATTATAATAGTATATTAATACCGTTTTTTTTTTTTTTTTTAATCACGTTAATAACAATCTTTTTACTAATGCTTTTCGTAGTCGCTTCAGATCCCGAATATAAAAGAAATTAAATTCATCTATAAAGCATTTGCAATTATTGATGCGAATAATAATCGAGATATTAAAAATCGTGAGTAAGGCACGCGTGGCGCCAATTTTTCGGAAAAAATCTACACGATAAAGAGCCTGCGCGAAAAGCGTCGAGTTGAGTCGAGTCGAGTCTGAAACATTCGTAGGTGGTTTTGTTCGCACCCGTGACACGGCCGGTTCGCCACAGATCGAGTATATATGTACGTACATTTGAACGGAAGTCCGCTTCAGCCCCTCCCGTAATTATTATCAGTCGGAGGGACCGTGCAGGCCTTTGTGGGACCTATCCGAATGCACGCACGTGTGTTTGTGTTCTGTGGCACGTTTGTCCGACCGCCGCCAGTGACCGGAGCGAGTTTACGTGTGACGTCATCATCCTGCTTTTTTGATCCCACACGCACGCACACAGTGACACACGTGGCACAGCCGGTACAAGAAAATTATCACCCCCTCCCTCGTCCCCCTCTGGTCGACGCGATGACCTGTTGCGTGCGAAACGTAAAAGGGTTGCGTTAAATGGCGATGTCTTTGTTCGCAACACGTTTGCATTTCTCTTGTGCGTTCGCGTAAAATAATCACGATCCTATCGTACGATATACAACACGTTGAAGAGGAAGATAAAATGGATTCGTCAGAGATCGATTCAACTGTAAAATTAAAGTCACGAGGAATTATCTTCGCAAAGAGACGATTAAATCCCTTTTACCCTCTTTGCACACGCGCTATAGAAGACTTTTATTACGGTAGAGGCAACGCAATTAAGTAGTCGCACGTCTAAAGAACGACGCTATTATTTGCCTACCCTCGAGAAGTGCTTGTCTAAGGATACTTTATTGCCGCTTCCATTTGCACACCTGTGTAATGCATACATCACGGTGCGACACGCACCGTGATTCCCTTCCTGATCCCCGCCAACGGTTTCGCACGTTTTACGAGTCACGCGGATAAGATAGGATCGGCCAAGAAAGCTTCGTAAGGGCCGGAAGGGGCCCTTCCTGCCGATTGCGAAATCGCGTCGCGGCAACCGGTTTGTAACAAAAGATAACATACAATGCAACCCTTTTACGGAAATTTCTCTCTCGAATTCACTCTTGTAGCTCGAGAAATTCGATATTTATAGCTATTCATCATTTTAGTCTCGATCCTCTATCAATGCTCTCGAGACGCGAATTGTTTTACCCTTTCGAATTTTTTATTCTCTTTGAATCGATCCGCGAAAGAGTCATGATCTTTGTGTACCGTTCGAATAAAAGGAGGCACGACATTTTTACGATAATTATATTTTCGTCGGTAATTAGCGAACGCGAGGCCGAGTCTAATTAACTGCGGCAGAAAGGAAACGAATCCCGTTGCTCGCGCGAGAATTAATCGCGCGACTTCTCATATCTTTTATCCCGAAACGTTGTTGTCTGTCGCAACACGCTTGCTGCTAATGAAAGGCAAATTGCACATGTCCTCTCGCTTTATTGATGATATTAAGGCAGTATCACGCGATTCCTTTGATCAACTTTTTTTCCAATATCCGTCTCGATGGTTCGACTATATCGCCTCGCGATATTATAAAAGAGAGCACTTTTTTTTATAGTTTCCTGGCCTTCCGTGTTCGCGTGTTATGTCATCCGCGTCTACGATGTTGTGCAATATTGTTAAATTGAACATAGTGTGTGTTTGACATTTTTTATTTTATATTCTCGTTGGAGATATATATAAAAGATATATTGCTCTCTCAAACATCCTCGTGCGAGTTACCATAAAACAAAAGAAAAATAAAATCCGCTTATTTATTAGAATTCTTGGAAGCTATATTGGTACGTCGAAGAACGGAGAATATAAATATTTCACCGTTGTCTTTTATAAGCAACTAGTAAAATCCATTAAGTAAACCAAATACAGCATGACAATCCTGATAGTAAAGTACCGCAATTAGTTTCCTTTTGCTCGAGTTCTAATGGCGCCACTATTTTTATGTTGCTCCCTTCCGAGAAGAAACGAAGCTACGCAGTTTCTCAATATTCATTTAAGCTTCTTCCGAGATATACGATGTTTACGACGCAAAGTGGATTCATGTGAACGGGCCGCGAAGTTTGTAAGAAAGGAACAGATTAATCTGTCGGACAGACCGAGGTGTTATTTCATTTATAGCATCGACGAAGTTCGCGCTTCTCTCCTCGCGACGCTAGCGTTCCAGGAATGACGGAGAGGAACGCGATGATTATGTGCCGAAATATTGATTTTGCCTAATAGGCGATCGAACACGCGTGTAAGAATACGAAACGAATAAATATAGTGAAGTAAATTTAGCGCAAATTTGCAAAACGCGGTATGTGAGAAGCCTGCTTTAAATATGTATATAAAAGCGATTTGATTAATACTAGATGTGTCGTACCGTTTTATTTTAATACTCTAGAAGAAAATTTATCCCCCTCTAACTAAAAAATTCGTCTTAAAAATATCACTTTTATTAGAGATGCGATTTAATTCATTTTACGGTTGTTCCTCATTTATTCGATCGCAGATTGTATTCTATGCAACGAGTATCGCCGCATCAACATCCTTCGAATATACATTATTATTCTGCACGCGAGATGCTCCGGCAAATTTAATCATCGTTACCTCGCGGCACTAGAATTTCATCGACATCGCGATGGTAAAATTACACGTTCCATTCAGTTGCATTGTGGAATTTACCACTATTGTTAGACCTTTAACGCAGGAGGAGAGGTGGTATCTCGCGCGGAGGAGTTACACTTTCCGCGATGCATACCGTTATTCGATATTACGGAGATGGCGACGAGAGCGGGCGCGTTTAACCCAGCGCGTTTGTTCGCCGGATCGCCGGCTATTTACATAACCGAGTCCATGCATTAGTGCACTCTCGGGAATGCAGCATCCAGCGGCGGAGTCGCTAGCCTCCACCTCCACCTCTTCTCTCTTTCTCGAGCTCTCCGCTCTT